CTCTCTCTCTCTCTCTCTCTCTCTCTCTCTCTCTCTCTCTCTCTCTGTCACACACACACACACACACACACACACACACACACACACACCACTTCAGCAGTGGAGGCAGAGGCAGGTAGCCAACTGTAAGTTAGAGATCAGCCTGATCTACAAGGGGAGACTCAAAGAGGAGAGAACACAACAACCACAGACCTACAAACAAACATGAAGACAATGAATGATCGGGGCAAAAGGAAACTGGGGTCTCTTCTTCCTCTTTTTGTAGTATCGAAATTCCTTGCTAAATCTGGAACCACAGGGCCCCCAGATGGCAACCAGACCACAGGAACCAGTCTTTCGGAAAGGAAGGCGATACGACGTTAGGGAGGGCAAGATGGAGAGGCCAGAGTCCCCAGTCTCCACCTGAAGCCTAAAATTCTACTGAAAATGTCCAGACCCTGGTAGATTCAAGGGGCCTCTCCTCCTGGGCTTCCTACCGTCAGGTCACACCACTCACCTAACTTGACTTGCCTTACAACATTTGGCATCAGCGCCCCCTCCCGTCAAACCGTGAGAGGAAAGTCTGGTTAGAATTTGGTGCCCGCTAGGGGCCGGGAAAGAGTGTGCTGACAGCCATCTTTATTAGGGGCAGAAGCCGCGGCTACGGAGAGCGAGTGAGGCCACGAAACTTTCGACTGCAAGCTGGTGAATCCAGGCGCCCGCGGGTGTGGAGCGCCGCGGGATGCGGGGAGGTGTCGGGCGTTAGGTTCGTTTGGGACCCGCCGTACTATGGCCTGGGCACCCCGATCCGGTGGCCTTCTACCTCCTTTCTCTAACGTACCCCCGTCGTGGGCGCATCCTGTGAGCGCTGAGAATGAGCGGGGCGAGGGGAGTCGCGGAGGGCCTGGGCTGCTCGCTGCGGGGGGCTTCCTGCGCCGGGACTCCGACAGACAGCCGTGGGAGCCCACATCGGCCAGCGGCCCGATGCCCTTCGCTCTGCAGCGGCTCAGGGCCACGTTGCTCCGTCTGCACCGCGAGCGGGAGCAGCTCCTGCGGGCCCGGGACTGCGCCCGCCACCTGCAGGCGGTCGTGCGGCTACTCCGCTCCAGCCCGTCGGCTAGTGCCCTCTCCCTGCAGCAGCTGCACGGCGACCTGCAGCTGTGCCCTTCGCGTGGGGCGGCTCTGCGCCTCGGCCTCCCGGGCTCCACCGAGTCGCTTCTCCTGGCTCGCCCCGTCGGACTAGCAGCCCAGCGCCTGGATGCTGCCATTGAGATGCAGCTTCGCGCCCTAAGTCGGGCACCCGCCAGCCTGGGCCTGACGTCCCAGCTAGCCGAACTGTTACTGGCCCTTCCCTTCTACCACACGCTACAGAGACAAGTCGTGAGCTGCGTTCCTGGGGCCGCGCGCCCATTCCCCGCGACCCGTGTGCTCCATCTCCTGGCTGCTGAGCGGGGTTGTCAGGTAGCACACAGACTGGCTGAGGCCCTTGGTGGCTCGAGTTTACAAGACCAACTTCGTTGGCAGTGCGACGAGGAACGAGAGCTGCTGCCAGGGCTGCTCGGTCTAATAGGGGGCGTGGCTAGCACCGACAGCAGTGGACTGAGGCTCGGAGGGCCCGGAGCCCTGTGGAGCCAGTATTGGACCTTGCTGTGGGCAGCCTGTGCTCAGAGTCTGGAACTAAGCGTGGGACCCTGGGGGGACCCCAGAGCAGTTGCCCAACAGCTGAGTCAGGCACTGTGTCAAGGTGAGTGAGAAACCCAATCTGGCATGTGGGGGTTGTGGTGAGGGTCTCGCTCTCCGTTTATCTTAATCGTCTCACTCATCTCTAGCCTGTCAGTACGAGCAGGCCCTTTAGAATGAACTTCCCTGAGTTTATAGATTAAGATTTCCCAGGTCACCTTGCTTCCCAACCTGTCTTTGTTTTGAGGTAGGTTTTTTACTAGGTAGTCCACACTGGCCTCAAACTCCTGTGTCAGCTTCCCACGGGCTGAGAGCCACTGTGCCTGACTTTGCACCCTGGTTTGAGTGGTAGAGGCCTGTAAATAGGGAGGTTTTGTTTTCCGGCCCTCACCAACTCTCCCATCAGCATCCCTGCCTCAGGAGTGTGAGAAGGAGCTGTTGTCTCTGTGTCACAGCCTGCATCATCGGTCTCTTGTATGGAGCTGGGACCAAGGTAAGGAGAGAGGGATATTGGGGGTGGCCCAAGAGTCAGTTTGCTCCCCCCTTCAGACTATATTCTGTCATTCCAGGGTTCTGCCAGGCCTTGGGCTCATCCCTGGCGGGTCAAAGCAGCCCTGTTTCACAATCTCAGACTGCTGAGCTGTTGCAGCGGCTTTTTCCTCCGCTTTTGGACACCCTTCGAGAGCCTAAATCGGAACTTAGCCTGTGTCTTTCTCCAGGTGAGACAGGTGCGGAATGGGGTAGGAGGCAGAGCAATTGATACCTTTTTCCTTCCCTCTGTTCTGAAGACCTCATGAAGGTAGCCCACAGACCCTAGGATACTCTTCTCTTCCCCTCCAGGTCCTGCACCTGTCGCTCTGGGGCTCTGTACCCTGCAGACAACCTTGATCTGGTTCTTGGGCAGAGCTCAGCATCACCTGGCAGCCTGGGCCCCTGGCTCCTTCCTGCTCCTGATTCAAAAGGATTTGCCTGTGAGTATCCAGAGAGCAGGGAAGGGAGCAGCCTGCCCTGAACTGAGCCCTCACTCCCTGTTTCCACTGAAAGCCTCTACTGCGTGTAGTAGAAGATCTGTCCAGCCTGGCCTCGGAGGCAACCTTAACCCTGGATGTGGAGCAGCAGCTGGGCCTGGAGATCCAGAAGCTAACTGCAAAGATGCAGGTAGGAACACAGATGCAGATGAGAGCACAGATAGATGTAGGTGAGAGCACAGGTGCAGGTGAGAGAACACAGGTACGGGTGAGAGAGCACAGATAGATGTAGGTGAGAGCACAGATGCGGGTGAGAGCACGGATGTGGGTGAGAGCACAGATGCGGGTGAGAGCACAGGTGCAGGTGAGAGCACAGGTGCGGGTGGGAGCACAGGTGCAGGTGAGAGCACAGGTGCGGGTGAGAGCACAGATAGATGTAGGTGAGAGCACAGGTGCAGGTGAGAGAGCACAGGTGCAGGTGAGAGAGCACAGGTGCAGGTGAGAGAGCACAGGTGCAGGTGAGAGAGCACAGGTGCAGGTGAGAGAGCACAGGTGCAGGTGAGAGCACAGGTGCAGGCGAGAGCACAGGTCCAAGTGAGAGCAAAGCCCCTGATAGTGGCAGTGTGTGCCCCAACTAAGGAATGAGCAGAGTAGAATCTGTACCTTGCAATCTCCTTGGAGTCTCCACTAAATTCACTTTTTCTTTGTTAGTTTCTTGTTCTGCCTTAGTCTTTACTATGGAAAAATTTCAAATATGGTCCTCACAGTGATCAGCTCCTGGTCAGTTATGATTCGCACCCACCTGCTAATAGTGAAAGCCACTGACATTATTGCTTAGACTTATTTCATTAGCGACTGCAAAAAGTGGGATTCCATAATTACATCTTTCACTGTTCCTGTTAATGTTCAGTTCAATGGTCCTTCTCTCTTTAGGTTTAATGTGTGTGTTTGCTTGCTTATTTTGTTTTGTTGAGACAGGGTCTCACTATGTCATTCTGGCTGGTCTGGAACTCGATATGTAGACAAGGCTAGCATAAAACTCAGAGTGATTTGCCTGCCTCTGCTTCTTAAATGCTGAGTTTAAAGGTGTATACCATCACATCTTAATTTATAGTTTTATTGAAGTAGTACATGTCTACAGTTTAAAAAGTAAAATGTAGCTGGGCGGTGATGGTGAAAGCCTTACTCCCAGCATTCGGGAGTCAGAGACAGGCAGATCTCTGAGTGCAAGTTCCAGGATAGCCAAGGCTGTCTCAGAGTAAAACAAAACAAGAAAGAAAGATGTAAACTGGGGCTGTGGCTAACAGTAAAGCACGGGCTGATCATGTAGCAAGACTATGAGCAGGAAAGGTGGGGGGAAGCAGCAAGGTGGTTCTGACAACCTGAACTCATCTCCAAGGCCCATGTGGGGAAGAGAGAGAACCAGTGTCTGCAAGTTGTCCTCTCCATATGTAAGCATACCAACACACACACACACACACACACACACACACACACACACGCATGTGCACACACATACACACATGCGTGCAAGCACGCAGAGAAAGAGGTGGGGCGAGGGAGGTTAAAAAGTAAAGTATTGCCGGGCAGTGGTGGCGCACACCTTTAATCCCAGCACTTGGGAGGCAGAGGCCAGCCTGGTCTACAAGAGCTAGTGCCAGGACAGGCTCCAAAGCTACAGAGAAACCCTGTCTCAAAAAACTAAAATAAATAAATAGGGGCTGGAGAGATGGCTCAGCGGTTAAGAGCATTGCCTGCTCTTCCAAAGGTCCTGAGTTCAATTCCCAGCAACCACATGGTGGCTCACAACCATCTGTAATG